CTTGGCGAAGCGGGAAACCACATTCGCCCTCGCCAGGGTCTTGGCCTCCTTGAGCATCGCCGGCCTCGGGTGGTCGTAGGCGATCCTGTTGATGTGGTGTGGTGAGTGAGGTGCGGTCGTGTGTGTTGTAGGATGAGAAAAATTGGTGTATCGGCCTTGGGGGTCGCGACCCTCGGTCACGCGACATTGGGGGTCGGGCTGGAAAGATTTTTTGTCGTTGCGGCCGCAAAGGAGAGAAGTGAGGCGGGGCTCCCCGTTGCGCGCGGTAAAGGGTCTGAGTTAACATGTTGGTCAAAGAGACCCCCGAGTTTCCCCGCTTGCACGTGAGCGCGCTCGGTGAAAGTGAGGTTAATATTTGTTAAAACGCTACCATGCGCAGTAGGTGCAGGTGGGACAGGACACGGCGGGGTGTGATGGGATGGTGGGAGATGTAACTGACGCGAAGACGACTCTTGTGTTATTTTTTGTCATTTGCTTGAAGGCTGAAAGACTCCGCGACTGAAAGGGGGGGCAGAGAAGGATTTGAACCAACAAAAAAAATAGACCCCCGATCATCCCCGCCCTCACCCGCAACCACCACCCCGCAAAGATAGATCCCCTCGAGCTCACCTCGTTGCAAGAGTGACCGGGGCATCGTCGGGAGCGTGAAGAGCGGCGAACGCCTGCATCGGGGGCCCCTTCTTGACGTACGCCTTGTGGAGGAGGTTGCCGTAGCTCTGACGGCACAGGAACTCGTGCTTGACTCTCCCCTGCTCATGAAGACGCACGTCGCGTGTGTCGTGTGTGTGTGCATTGTGGTACATAGTGCGGTGACCGTATTGTGTCGTGGGTTGTTTTAGCGTGCGGCGTACGCGTCATGTCTTGCTTTTTTCGGCGGGCAGGCAACTCGGATTTGGTCGAGGACGATGGTTGGGTGGTGGGGGGTAAGGGGGTACGCGGCTTCGAAGACTCGCCTGCTTGGTTTGGATCCACGCGTCGGCCTTGCTGTTGGCGTCGTCCTTGGAAGCCAGCTCCAGCTCCCTCTCCGCCTTCAGCCTTGCCCTAGTCTTGCTCGACCGGATCGCGCGGTCGTAGCTATCCCAAAGTACCTCTCTGCCATTGTCGCAGTCGTTGACGTTGTTGCGGAGGTTTTGCTGTTTGATTAGTATTTTGTTGTTTGTCGTAGTCGCAACAAGTAGCAGGAGTTATTGAAGGGCGTGGACGGGTTGACTGTGTTGGTTCCGGCGGGGTGAGAACCCAACAAAATGTTTTGGAAACACTGCGTCGTCGTAGCTCTTCGCTTCCTCCTTCCTTGAGACTCCCGAGTTGCCTTGCTCCGTGGGACAACGTCCGCCCACCTGGGAGGGTCACGCCGTGAAAAATGCAGTGCTGCCCCTGAACGTATCTATTGCCCTTCGAGAATACACCGGAGACTGTATTTGTTTCCCAGGCCGCTCGTGTACCACACCGTCAATATAGAATAAGACATTCATCCCCCCCCATCTCTGTTTTCTGACTGCTGTCTACCTCTCTTTTTCTCTACCTCACCCTAGTTGTTAATGTAAACGTTCGTTACATTCTGGCTGGCATCTCTCACGCCTCTTTACACGCACCTGGCTTTTCGCAGATCGTCCACGTCGCTCTCGGTGTAGTCTGACTTGATCACCTGAGACGACGCCAAAAAAACACCGCAGGAGGGAAGGTGTAGACATCACAAAAAGTATCTACAATAGGCCTGAGCACGCTCGTTCGTTCTACGTGTGTGCTGGTGAGTGTGACACGTAACGTGTACGGACCACGCTGCTGAACGGAACCCATCATCGCCGTTGAGTGCTGTTGACAGCACCGCTGTTTGTAGGAGGCCAATGGCTAGCGTAAAAAATTCTCTACATGCTTCGTATATATGAAACCACCGAACAAGCACATGCCGAACACGGTACAAGACTGGCCGTCTCAGGTGGGAATGGGACCAGTGCCGGGAACAGTGCTACCTCGTTCTCAACAACGCAAGCAGCAAAATAATACCCTCCCCTCGCCCCCCCCCCCAACCAAAAACATTCTTTCTCATGGCTCTTGTTCCCTTTGAACATGGTACAGGCATCCCGCCCCGCCCCTCCTCGTTATCATCCATTTCCCCTGCGCGCACTTGCCGCTCGCGCTTCTTTGAGAGCTATCCAAGCGTTCTCTTCCTCGACTTCGTCTGCCGGCCTGGCGTCCCGCAGCTCGTTGAGCTTGTGCTTCTGTAAGGCACGGCACAGCAAGCGTAGGGTACCGTAGTGGATGGCGCTCACAAAGGTATCTCGAAACAACCGACGAAGAACAACACGCGACCGGGCTTTTGAACGCAAGTTAGACAGGAGAAGCTGTTCTTGCAGCACCAGGTGTACATCTCACGTACTCTCTCATGGGTGCCTTCTCTGTTGGTTGTTGTTGTTGTAGTTGTGGTGTTGGTGGTGGTGGTGGTGTTGCATCTTTCTACTGTCGTCACTGTTGCTGTTCTTCTTTCGCAATCTCGTCGTACCTTTCGCTGCTGATTGTCCTCGTGCAGCGCAATGCGCTCCTCCGCCGCCTGCTGTAGCTCCCTGTCATGCTCTGCCGCGATCTCGGCCTTCTTCCTCTCCAGCTCCTTCAACCGCTCCTTCTGCTTCGCCGACACGATCGCTTCGATCGCCTGGACGCTCGTCAGATCACCCTTGGGCGAAAGAAAAAAGGGCGAGATTCAGATTCCCCCCCCCTCAACCCTTGGTTTAGTCATGGAGAATCATATTCACGTTTTGTCGGGAGTTTCAGAGTTTATTGAATCAGGTGTGGCTGAGAGGTTTAGAACCTTTGCACACAGGGACAAAGAGGAACAGGAAGGGAGGAAGAGAGAAAAATCGCAAGAGAGATAAAGAGAGGGGAGAGAGAGAGAGGGGGGAAATGTTTTTTATTGGTTGAGTGAGGTTCGAGCCGAGTAGAGTGAGGCGAAAGAGACATAAACGAAGACATATTCCGTACGACACCCCCCCACTCCCCCCTAACGAATTGCATCAAATTCCTTCCCCACCTGGTCATAGTTGGCGAACATCTTCGTCCTCTGCTTGGTCATCTTCTCCCAGTACTTGACGCCCAGCACCTTGCGGCGGATCGCCTTCTGCAGCTCGAACGCCGGCTGCGCAACCTCGTAGTTGTCCTGCACCGCCTTCTCTAGTTGGCGTCGTCGTCGTCGTCGGTGGGCGCCGTTCCGTCCAAGTTTCGGTCATCACACGTGCCGATCGGCAATCGGGAGAGTGTAGTGCGGTGAATGCCGTGAGATGAGATGGTACGCGTCGCCGTCAGCAGCAGCGGGAATGTTAATCTACTATTAGATGCCAGGTCACTGTTTTTGCTCCGTCTACTAGTTTCTCTGCTGTCGACGTCGCGTCTGGCGTCTGACCGTCAACCGCTCGCTGTGCGGGGCCACGTTTTCACCCACCGATTCATCGAACACACAGCGACCATCAAACGTGCCTAATGTATCGTCATCAGCAATACGAACTGTCATGTGATGGGGTGGGGACCGATGGTCAAGGGAAGGCCTCCAAAGTCCGACCACCGACCCACCGTCATCGCACACGTGAAAAAATGGGCCCAAAAGCTGCGTATCAAATCGCGCGAAACGGGACAAAACCGCGTTGAAACGGGGCGAAAAACCGGCGTATCAAACCGCGATAAAGAACGGGACGAAAAATCCGGGCCGCCTAGTACCTGCAAGAACTCGTCGAAGGTAAGGGCGTCTTCGTCCCCGCTGCCGTTGACCGCCAGCGCCTTCAACAGGTCGGGATCGGCGTCCGGTGACCCGTACAGCATCCTCACCATCGCGTCCAGCTCCGCCATGGTGACCCTGCCCCTCTTGTCGACGTCGAAGATGCCGAACAAGATCTACACACATGCGTGGTAAGAGTGTTGGTCCGCGAGAGTGTCCGACGACGGGAGGTGGGTGTAGAGGCGTTTGGGGGGCCGGCAGTTTGGGGTGAAGGAACGTAGGATGACGTTATGGGCATGCTCATTTCAGCCCGGCTGGCTTCAAGCACGCGCGGGGAAATGTATTATCGCGGCCAAGTTTGGGTGTTAGCCTCGGGCGGCGGCATGGAGCAAGGGGTGGCGAGACAGGCTGGAGACAGCGGATACGGTAGGGTCGGCGATGGGGTAGAGTAAGCAACAACACCGAGCAAGATGCTAGCTAGCAGTCAGGCAGAATATGGTGCGGAAAATGACTTGCTTCGCGGCCGTACAGAGAGGAGCAATGCGTGTGTACCAGAGCACACGAGGCAATAAACAACGTCTGTCTTTTGCCAATGAAGCCGACGAGGCGGAGGAGGATCAGACCCGCCCCGCCGTAGCGCACCTTGGCCACCAGAGTGGTGTCGTACGTGCAGTAGTTCCAGACGCCAATGATGAACTCCCTCAGGTCCAGCATGCCGCTCATGTCCTGGTCGAGGATGGAGAACACCCTCTCGCTGAACTTGGTCGCCTGCGAGTCCAAGTGCCCGTGGAACTCGTCCACCGACACCTTTAACGGAGGCTCAAGGTTGGTGCTGCGAACACGCTCGCTCTTGGGTTTCCGTTTCTGTTCCTACCTTTCACTAATCCCACCCCCCGTTCGCTCTCCCCGTCTTGAGATGTTGGACTCAGTTGTTACCCATCCGACCTAGTTGCCGGATGCAAAACTCTGAGGGCATGCACATTGTCTCGTTGCTTTACCACCCGTCTCCCCCAGACCAATTGCAAGAACAACGGTACGTTGCATCTTGCGCAGGTTGTATGTGAAACACGGCCAATTTTTCTTCAGTACTCGGGGGAGTACGCTGTCTTTGGTTCTGGAGTTGGAAAACTGACCGTGCCCTTGAAAATACTTCGTATTACAAAGGAATTCGTTATAGCTTAAACTGTCATCCCGGGACAGGATTTTCTTCCCTTGCGAGAAATGATGGGAGCCACTTGGCACGCCTGGGTGTGCATCGCAAGACCCAGCGTCCAGAACAATTGCACGAAAAAAAAACACATGCGTGTCGGATTTCTCAATAACCTATCCCTCTCTCCCCGGTGTTGTTCAAGTACCATACCGGAATGCATGCTTGTTTGCACGTGAAACAGGCCTTTCGCGCTCACCTCTCCAGAGTTGTCGTCATCGATGGAGATGAACTACCGGTGCGGGTGGCGGGCCAAACGAAAACGAGAGGTTGACAGGGGGGGGGGGGGGGGGGGCCCAAAAAAAAAAAATCCCCCCCCCCCGGTTTTCCGGCCCCCCCCCTTTTTTCCACCGGGGGGGCCCCTTGGGGGAACCCCCCCGGGAAAAACTTTGGGGGTTTTTTTTCCAAAAAAACCCCCCCCCCCAACCGGGGGACCCAAAAAAAAACCCCAATTTAAGGGGGGGGAAACCCCAAAAACCCTTTTAAAGGGCCTGCCCCGGGCCCCCCGGGGGGGGCCCCCTGGGAAAGGGTCCCCTTTTTCCCTTTTTCCCAAATCAAAAACCCCCCCCAAAAAAAATTTCCCGGGGCCCCCGCAACACCCCAAAAACGGCAAATCTGCAAAGGGGGCCCCCGAAACCCCCCGCTTTTAATTTTTTTTCCCCAAATTTTTTTTTTTGAAAAAAAAA